TACATACATACATACATACATACATACATACATACATACATACATACATACATACATACATACATACATACATACATACATACATACATACATACATACATACATACATACATACATACATACATACATACATACATACATACATACATACATACATACATACATACATACATACATACATACATACATACATACATACATACATACATACATACATACATACATACATACATACATACATACATACATACATACATACATACATACATACATACATACATACATACATACATACATACATACATACATACATACATACATACATACATACATACATACATACATACATACATACATACATACATACATACATACATACATACATACATACATACATACATACATACATACATACATACATACATACATACATACATACATACATACATACATACATACATACATACATACATACATACATACATACATACATACATACATACATACATACATACATACATACATACATACATACATACATACATACATACATACATACATACATACATACATACATACATACATACATACATACATACATACATACATACATACATACATACATACATACATACATACATACATACATACATACATACATACATACATACATACATACATACATACATACATACATACATACATACATACATACATACATACATACATACATACATACATACATACATACATACATACATACATACATACATACATACATACATACATACATACATACATACATACATACATACATACATACATACATACATACATACATACATACATACATACATACATACATACATACATACATACATACATACATACATACATACATACATACATACATACATACATACATACATACATACATACATACATACATACATACATACATACATACATACATACATACATACATACATACATACATACATACATACATACATACATACATACATACATACATACATACATACATACATACATACATACATACATACATACATACATACATACATACATACATACATACATACATACATACATACATACACATACATACATACATACATACATACATACATACATACATACATACATACATACATACATACATACATACATACATACATACATACATACATACATACATACATACATACATACATACATACATACATACATACATACATACATACATACATACATACATACATACATACATACATACATACATACATACATACATACATACATACATACATACATACATACATACATACATACATACATACATACATACATACATACATACATACATACATACATACATACATACATACATACATACATACATACATACATACATACATACATACATACATACATACATACATACATACATACATACATACATACATACATTACATTACATTACATTACATTACATTACATTACATTACATACATACATACATACATACATACATACATACATACATACATACATTACATTACATTACAGTACATTACATTACATTACATTACATTACATTACATTACATTACATACATACATACATTACATACATACATACATACATACAGACAGACAGACATACATACATTACATTACATACATACATACATACATACATACATACATACATACATACATACATACAAACATACAGACAGACAGACAGACAGACAGACATACATACATACATACTTACATTACATACATACACCCACACACACACACACATACACAAACATATCATATGGATCCGTGAACATTTCAGCTGAGCCGGATTCAATGGAGTGTCAAAACAGCCACATGCTGCGCGATCGTTGGATACCATCCGCGCAAGCTTTCTGCATACAAGTTTTGCATGGCACAGGGACCTTTGCAATTCTATTCTTTCAGCCGATGACTCATCCATTCGGCCGCCCACGTGTGTCGAAACACTTTCCTGCCCAGCACCGCCGAAGTCAACGAGCATGTCTTGATGTGTTGCTGCAGGCTGTCCAGTCGTCTTGCCCACATAGCCTTGAGCGGCGTTGCTTGCTTCTTGCTCGCGTGACCAAGTCGAGCCCAATGCAAACATCCAGCAGCAAAGCTCCAGCAGCCGCCGCAGTTTGCCCGCCCCAACGCTTGGCTTTCCGAGCCGCATCGCCCAAAACGTCGTTGCGCGATGCTGCGCGTTGACTCAATCCGCCAACTCTGTGAAGCCTACAGGGAAGTTTCCACGAATTCCCTGAGCTGACGCTGCACGCGCAGCCTTTGCTTCTTCTTCAAGCCACTGGCTGGGGCTCAACAGTGCATTGCGCTTTCCCCTCGTGCCTTTCTTGTTGCTGTTCTGCGTCCTGCTTTGACCGGTTGGAGATGTTCATGAGTTTACTTCGGCCCGGCTCTTCCGCGTTGGAGGGAATCGTTAAGGGCAGTAATAGGCTGCCTCCGTCGCCCGGTCGGCCCCCTCTTAACCTGCAATTTTGGAAAGGGGCAGGGTGCCATGGAGTATCAAAGGCAGCTACATGCTGCACCATCGTTGGCAGCCAACCAAAAAAGCTTCCTGTGCGCCATCTTCGCATGGCGCAAGGCTCTATGGTCTGTTCTTTCAGCCGATGCCACATTCATTTGGTCAAGCTCGCTGGTAAACAGTTAAGTGGGGATTTCTCACTAAACCACAAAAAGCGGAAAATAACAACCATGCAAGGGTTACACAGCAAAGCACGTAGCCTTCCGGCCGTAGGCTTGGCCGGTTTCGTCTTCGATTCGCTCCCTTCGCTCCGGCTCCTTGGTATCGAGAGTGGGCGTGGCAAGCAGCATGTTTCCTGCCAAAAGCCGAGACGCGCTAGCCTCACCAAGCTTTGGGAGCTTCAAAGAGGGTACGCCACGTCCGTCTCCAGATTTGAGAGCTTAGTATGAGGGCACCAACTTCTTTCGGTTTTGTCTATTTCAGTAGGGGAACCCTCCCCCAAAAAAGGGTAAAAGGGCGCTACTGGGGGACCTAGTCTCAATGGGGGAGCCCTCCAACATGGGTCCCTTTCAACCAAAGGGTCTTCCGGAAGACCCCATTCTGTACAGGATGCCCTGTGGAAGATGCGCAGAGATTCTTACGTCAGGATTAAAACGGTAGTCACCATAGTTTTGGGGCGTAGGGATTATGCACCAATCTCTTGGGCCACAATTCTATCAGGGCCTTGATTTTAACACTCCCATAGGTCCTCCAGTAGAGAGGTTAGAATAAGGGTACCCCTTTTTCTGTAGTCTATTGTAGTAGGGGAACCCTCCCAACCAAAAAAGGGTAAAAGGGCGCCTAGTCCCACTTTCTCGGCGCGCGAGATCTGCGCGACTCCAACTCGCCTGGACCGAAAGATTCCAATCCAGGAGGTGGACGGAAGAACATCGCCTGGCATTGGCACCATCTGGTTTGACCCCAAGCCTTGGGGTGGCTGCAACGACCCCCCTGCAAAAAGTTTTCCACTTTTTTGGGGTTTAGTGGAAAACACCTTTATTTCAACCAAAAAGCTAAAGTCTAAAGATCCAAATAGCAGTTGAGAAACATGCCCCCACATGATAGTCACCCCTGACGTGGGAGTTTTGGTGACTGTGCTTTGGGGCAAATCCCCATGCCCGTTGCTCATGCGAAACAAGCAACCTTGTCCACGGCTCGTATTAGGTTCGGACAACGTATCTATATGACGAATGACTCGCGAATTTGCCCCATGTCCACTGGGCTCCCCAAATTGAGAAGGGAAAATCGGGTGCGCCCCTGGTCGTGGGAAACTGTCCCCCCGTGTCCTACCATACCGACAGAACCAACGCTTTTGTCGGCTCACGTGATATGGCCACGGGTCCCCCAGTGAACATCCCAATCCCCACTAAATCGGTTCTAAAATGGGTGGTGAATTCACCTACCCCAAAATGGGATCCCAAAACGGTTTTGACAACCACAGCCATATGTTCGCCTCATCTCAACTGGGCCCTGGCCTTGGTGTCCATGCCTGCCATCTGAACCGCCATCGCCTGCCGATCGCGGCTCCGGCAGTTTTTGCCCTCAGTCCCTGGGGCTTCAGGCTGGGCCCTCAAACGAGGGGCGGCACTCACTGAGGCACTTGATTTGTCCAATGGATTCGATTCTATGCCTCAAGCATTCGGACATGTGCTAATGACTTTGGGAGATATCGGTGATTGCCATCTTCTTGGGGTCATAACACGAGCAATCACAATGAAAACATCCGTGCGCCAGATGCGGCTCATCGCTTCTCTGCATTGCAAGTCTGTATCTCGATAAAAGCACTTTCCCACATGTCATCTCTGGCGGAGAAAGCAGGGTGCGCGCCTTGCAAAACAGAATGTGCTTGCCCGAACTTTAAATCTTGGCAAGAGCAAATGGCCACTGTCGGACATAAATGTCCAGGCATGTTGTCTCTGTACGGCGGTTTATTTGGACGCAACGAGGCTTCGTGCCATGGTTGTTTGCTCCAGCGCCAGTCTGGATTGGGTGCTCAATCCTTTTCCGACTTCCTTTATTTTTGCTTAACATGGGCTCTGCACTACCCAGCCTATCGCACCTTTTTTTACCCGGGCAGCGAGGTGAAACACGTCAGCAGCTGTGGGCAAAAGGTGAACGTGCATGCACCGACGGGGCCAAAGCTGTTGTGAGCCCCTGCTTTCCGTACACTCTCATTGAGGGGACCCTAAACGGCCTCTAAATGGGTTCCTGCTTGCACCAATGGATAATCATGTGCATAGCACATTTGTTTGAACCAATTAAGGTCACCAAAGCTCTTACTCAATTCACAAAAGCAGGTGTCAACAAGGACTCACATCTCCGACTCAGCTTGAAGTTGGCCACCCCCATGCGGCATGGGCAACGGGTACATGGGCGAAGCGCCGACCCTTTAAGCTGATGATGCTTTTTCGCCTGGCACATATCGCCTGGTCCGACGCCCTTCGCACATGGTGAAACAAATACCCTTCATTGCCCCAGCCTGTCTCTTGAGCGATGCGTTGGCAGCGCGGCTCTGGAAACGAAGGAACCTGGCAAACATCATCTGCTGATGTCGTCTTTAATCGTTTGCTTTCTGCTCCCCTGCTAAAAGTTTGACTTTTAGTGGTTTAATGGAAAACCCATGAGTTGGCAAAAAGTGTTTAAAGCCTAACATCCAAGCAACATTCACCAAAGTTTAGCTTCTGGGGCTCTCATGCCAATTTGACAGTTCACGTGAAACACCAAACGTGGCACATATCCATCTCCTGAGGCTTCAAAAAGCAACCACTGCAACGAGAAACTGAATGGCCACCTTTGGGTTTGCATAACAAAGAAACCAATGTGCCCCTAGTTTTCAACCCTTGGCGGGATCCCACATTGCAGATTAGCCCCTGGCCTGTCACAGAAGGCCCAGATTGGGGCGTCCGCGCGGTCTCTCGCCTCGTGCTCAAGTGCCTTGAAAGCACTGCTTCTGTGACAATACCCTCACCTGTCGACCTAATTCGCAACCCAAACAAACATTTGTGTCTATAATATATTATGGGTATGCAGTTCAATTGGCTGGACCCTTGTGACTTTTGGGGGCGTCACGAAAACACGGCATGGATGCAACCACCAGCCATTTTTGCCTGGAAATTCAGGCTGGGACTTTTTGCAGCACTTAATTACAAAGGACCAGAACAGGACACACCCAAATTTTTCCCACCTTCGTGTGTGTGTGTGTGTGTGTGCGTGTGCGCGTGTGTCCAGGGAAAGTCCCGAGATTCTCCGGAAGAAAAAGGCGTGTAGTCCAGCTGAGCTGCAAACCCTGCATCGAGGGCTTACCTGGCAAGTGAAGCTTTGCGACTACATCCGGCCCAGGCTCACACACACAAACAGGTTGTGGTTCGGGTTGGCTTAGTGTTGGTTTAGGGCTGAGTTGGTTTAGCTTTTTTTCTGAGGTTGGTTCAGGGTGGTTTTGGGGTGGGCTAAGGGATGAGGCGGTTTTAGAGGCTTACAATGAGTTTACGGTTGGTTTAAGTGTCTTTTTAGGGTGGGTTTGGGGCTGGTAAGGCTTAAGGTTTGTGGCTGGTGATGCTGAGGTGCTGCTGGTTGGGGATGTGAAAAGCCAAACCGCACAAGGCCACAAAAGCCAAAAGCCAGCACAGGAGCAAAACAAAAAAAACATTGAAACTAATGGCGGGCACCTTTGGGCAGGTCAAACAATTAAGCATTTTGGGCTTGGCACAAGGACGACAAAGCACCACTTTCGGGGTCCCCTAATTCTTGAGACATCCCCTTCCCCCCAAAAAAAAAGCCGCCCGTTGATGATTGATTATTGTGATGTTTGACTAAACACCCTCCGTTAATTGAAATGTAATCTCTTATTTCTTTTCTTTGGGAGCAGGGGTTGTGCACCTTCCCGCGAGCGACAAGTAAAACGGCGCCTGTCCCAGGGAGCCGTGACCTGCTGAGCCGCGGCGCGCTTCTCGACCACCTGAGGGCAAGCTAGGCTTGGTTCACGTTGGAAGGGGAGCAACATTTTCTCGGTTGCTTTCTGCTCCCCTGCTAAAAGTTTAACTTTTAGTGGTTTAATGGAAAACCCATTAGTTGGCAAAAAGTTAAAGTCCTAACATCCAAGTAAAATGCACCAAAGTATTGAATTTTAGCAGCTAAGCTGTGGATTTCAACCACTCAACCACAATAAGTAAAATGTAAAATGCTTCCAACAACCATGTAGGGACCATGTAGGGACCATGTAGGGACCCAAACTCTCAGAAACACAAACACGCCAAAACAAACAAACGCACACACACACACACAAACTCACAAACGCATAAACACACCACACACACACAGACACAAGCACACCGACTCACAAACACACACACACACAAAGACACACACACACACTCGAAAAGACACAAAGACACACAAACACAAAGACACAAGCACACACACACACACAACACGCACACACACAGTTACTCACACACAAAACAAACAAACAAACAAACAAACAAACAAACAAACAAACAAACAAACAAACAAAAAACAAACGAACAAACAACAAACACACAAACAAACAAACAAACAAACAAACAAACAAACAAACAAGCAAACAAACACAAACTCTCAAACACAAAAAGACACAAAGACACGCACAAAAAACAAAAAAACAAAGGCACAAAGGCACAAAGACAGACACACACACACACACACACACACACACACACACACACACACACACACACACACACACACACACACAACCACACACAAACAAACACACATAAATATATATATATATAAACACAACTATACACATAGACAAAGAAAGAAAGAAGAAAAACAACAGACACACAAACAGACAATCAAACAAACAAACAAGCAAACAAACGGTCAAACAAACAGACAAACAGACAAACAGACAGACAAAAAAAAAGAGCAAAAGCGCACAAACACATAAAGACACACACAAGCAAAGATGCAAACACAAAAAGCAAAGACACACAAACACAAACAAACGCACAAACACAACACCGCACAACCGCAAACACACACGCACAGAAACGCCCAGCCACACAAACACACAAACACACAAACACGCAAACACACAATAAACACACAAACACGCAAACGCACGCGCCCACCAAATTTAGGAGGGGCGGGAGCGGGGTAGGGGTTGAGGGCTTGGTCCAATTCGGGGCCCTTGACGGAAAAGGCGGTCACCAGGGCTTGTTTGGTCGCCAGGTTCTTGTCCGTGATGATAACGAAGTTGACTCTTACGACACAATGCGATTCAGGCGATCGCCAGGCAGGAATCTTTCTGAAAGCCAACTCTCAAAAACCCATCATGGAACCTCTGTTAAGAGGGGACATTGGAAAATTGGCGAGGTTTTCGAGTAGAGAGCTTAGAATAGGGGTACCCTTTTTTTCGGTAGTCTATTTTAGTAGGGGAAGACTCACCCAAAATTGGTAAAAGGGCAATACCGGGGGACCTAGTTAGGCAATCTTGCCCCTTGTGGGGTATGTGAAGGGAATTTGGGCGGGCCCCCCTTCTCGTCCTCAAACTGACATCAGTGACTTTGCTGGTTGCTCCAACTGGCCAGGTATTATCCCACCATTTTCCTCAAACCTGTGGGGTGTCCAACGCAAGGAACGGAATCCCCATTTTGGAAACAAAAGGAAACCCTGAAAAGAATCCTGAATAAACATGAACAAAGCACGTCCAACGTCGGGATGTGTGGCAATGAACAAAAAAAGGGGGTTCCATCCCTGTTTTTCGGACACCCCCACAAATTTCACAAAGAAGCCAAAAAGACACGAGGCCCACTGCAAAGGGATGTTGGGTGTATCTATTGAAGCCATGCCTGCCACTTCTCAGGCGCCAAAATCGCGTGTTCATTTGGCCTGCGGATCATGGTCATTGTTCACTAACCTTCACAGTGGTTGTCTTACCAACCCCAACCCCAAGTAAAGTTGTCTTCCTACCCTAGCACATGTCAACAAACCAAGGTCACCTCAAGAAATGGAACCAAACACAACTCGAGCCTGTAAATGGGGATGATCCCGAGCTACTGTGGATGGACGAAATCTGTTCGCACCGCTTGGAAACCATGGTTGAAACCCTGGTTTATTTTGGTATTTACCGGGGATTCGTATCAGAAACCAGGGTTTCCGAACGGTGCGCTGGATGGACTTCGCCATCCGTATCCAGTGAAGGCTCGAGCTCCCCGCGCCTCCGCCATGATGGCGTTGGCCTTCTTCTTCTCTTGCTCCACGGCCTTGAAGCTTGGCCATGGGGCAAAAACCACATCGGTGATCCCCCAGTGAACATCCACCAATCCAAGCACGAAAAAAGACGAAAAGTTGGGGTTCTACAGTAAGGTTATGTAGATAGGTGGCCATGAGTGAACATCAACCAATCCAACCACTAAAACAGGTTCTACAATGAGCGGTGCACCCACCCGAAAATGGGACCCCATTGGTTTTGACCCACTGCCAAATCTTTTCCATGGTGTGAATCGAACCTCCATGAGTTCGGCATATGGGTGTGGGTCTGAATCGAAAGTCCATGAGTTCGGCACATGGGTATGGGTCAAAATTAAACCACCAGGGGACCACAGGTTTTAGTCATTGTTTCCATTTGCCAGGGTGCCATAAATTCTCATTGCTGTACTGGGCATGAACACAAATATGCTCCAAAAGGACTAATTCACTTCCGGCCATGAACAAATCAGAGCAACATAGCTTGCCGCACATCTAGAGAAGGACGTGCTGCCATTCAGTAGCCCTTGGGGCTCGCACGCGTCGAATCTTTTCCTCTGCGATTGCAGCCTTGCAGAGTGAGCATGAAAAATGGGAAAACCACTTACTTCACTGGCATTTTGCTTCAAACCTGGTCGTACTGCCTTCGAACTGCATTTGGGCCTTGATTCGATTGACAATGTTGCACTGATCACTGTACAAGGCGCCTGTCGCTGCTCAATCGCATGCTGCTGCAGCTGTCGATGTCGTTGCACCTGCATTGCACATGCACAGCATCTGCAAAGTTGACAGGAAGTGCATTTCCCCTCGATCTGAGCACTCTACATTAAATTCCCGATACTTTGCGGTGAAGACTAAACACTTGCACCACCCTACCCAATGCGAGTAGGCTTGCTTGACAGAACTGAACTTCTGCAAAACACTGCCACAAACGAAATCACCATCCCTGTGTATCCCAAATTTCGGGCTGCCATTTTTCCAGAGAGTGACTGGACCCTATTTTCGCATCTCAGTCATTGAATGACAATGCAAGTGAGTCTCGATCGGGCTAATACATCCATGGCACGCAATTGGCCACCAAGCATCTTTGGAAAGCTGGTAAATGGAAAGCTGGACTAAAACCCGCGGTCCATATCCTGGTGGTTTAATTTTGACCCATACCCATGTTATCATAAGCTGCCAGCTTGGCACGCTTATGAATTCGTCTAGCACCAAAAACGTCCTTTAGCGGACATCGGATGCAATCGGCACAGTACTGTTGCACTGCCAAACGTCTCACATCTTTTTTTCGAGGAATCCAGTTGACAACCATCGCAACCACTCTCCTTGGCATGTTGGGGTTTGGAGCCATTTTTTGGGGGAACGGAACTGCATGTGATGAGAAAAGCAAGGCCGAGTAACGCAGCCATTCCCTTTGCTTTCTTGTTTGACGGTACCCTTTTCAGGTCGGTTCACATGAAAGCCAAAAGGAACACCACCCATTTTGGGGATGCCACACGTTGGGACATATACCCACATGTATCCTAAAGGCATTTCCAGGTATGCATATGCCCTACCTCCCACTAACGTAGCACCTGAGTCCCTTTAAGAGGAAGTCGATCTCCCACAAACATGCCTTCTGCTAGTGGGAGGCAGGGTGCCCCTTAATCTCATTTCTACGGTGGCATCCAAGACCCCGGCCCTGGAAACGCCAACTTACAGTGGATGGACGAAATCCTTTCGCACCACTTTGAAACCATGGTTGAAATACAATTGTTTGTTGGTTTTTACAGTGGATTTTCCATAATCATTCCGAGGTTCCAGGGTTTCTGATCGGTGGTGCGAAATGAATTTCGCAACCATCCGCAGTAGAAACACGCGAACGCCGAATCGAACACCTCGCTGCGCCTGGTGGAAGTCCATCTGTCGGAACAGCTCCTCTTGATGCCGCATCGACACCAACTTCTCGCCTTCCTCGCCTCGGCGTTCGACGCGGCCCAGGAGATGTATTCAACCTTCAATTCCACCGATTCCACCAACTGCCGGGATCCAAGAGGATAAATCACTTTACGAATAGGTTTAGTATATACTCAATATGTATATATATATATATATATACACACATACACATCTATCCATGTTCTGAACATTGTGTATATTGAAAACTGGAGTCCCTTCGGATCTTGTGTCTTGAACCCAAAAATGCAGTAAGCCGCTTTGAAGTGTTTTAGGGCTCCATGTCTACCTGTGAAGAGATGCCCCTTCTTAAAAGCCCACATATGCAAACACTTCTGCGAACTGGGACAAAGGCAGGATTTGTCCAGCACTTTGAGTCATGTTCCCACTTTTCCGAGACCTCCCAAATTTGAGCATCTTTCTTTCAATGCAATTGATCAAAGCTCCAAAAACAAACTTTGACAAGTTTCTGGATTCAAGATTCAAAACTAAAGTCCTGCGAATCTTAAATGTCTAATCTACAACCGCTTTAAAGCCCTTTCAAGCAACTTACTTGGGTCTGGATTGAAGATGCCTGATAATCTTCAGTCTTAGATCCCTAAATGCGTTAACGCGCGTTGAAGAGTTTTGCGCAATCCATGGCCAGAACATGCCTCCGGAAAAAAAAAGGATGAACATGACAAGGAGGTGCCCTGTGGCCCTGTGGACGGGCAAAATCCCTTTTGCACCAAGCAAAATCATACCTTCATACGAATTGATATACAAGTAACCCCCCCGCCGTATTTCTGGTGGCTCATCAACCATTCATGGAATTTCCTCCATCTCTGGTGCCAATCGGCCGAAAAGCACACAAAAAAAAACGTGGCTGGCGCAAAAAAAAGGCCAACCGCTGGGCCCTCCAGGCGCTGCTTCTCGATGCCCTCCAGGCGCTGCATCTCCTGCTCGATCTGCCCACGCCTCGGAAACGGCGCTTTGGTCGAGGGAAACTCCTAGGTCCTCCAGGGAGCTTAGAATAAGTTGGCACCCGATTTTTGTTCGGTAGTCTATTTTAGTGGATTCCCTTTGGAAGGAGTTATCAAACTTAAATAAACTAGGTCCTCCAGTAGAGAGGCTAGAATAAGTTGGTACCCGATGTTTTTCGGTTTTGTCTATTTTAATAGGGGAACCCTCCCCCAAAAAAGTTGGTAGAGAAGGGCACTACTGCGACACCTAGACTCAGATGCACAAGGGACAAAAAGAATCGGCTTCCTTTTTTGGTTGGTTGCCTTTAAAGGGGAACCCCTCCCAAAAAATGAACAAGGGCGTGGGCAACTGAGGTGATATAGCAAAGCACTTCACCCCAAAGTAGTTTAATCCTACTCTTTTCAGGGTTGGTAAGGAGGGGTTCCCGGCACAGGCGCTTGCTACTCCCAGGGCTCAGGTCAACTGCGTCAAAATCCGGAACTGCGCACATGTCTAGGGGATGATTCCTTGCCCATTCTTTTCAACCATCGTTCTTTTCAAAAACCGGATCCGTTTCCCTGGGTTTCTCGAGGTTGTCTGGAAAGCAGGATCCCTGGAAAGAATGGGGAAGGTACCCCTAGAACATGGAGTTTCCTTGTGGCTTCCCTTTAGACCAAGTTGGCAAGGGAAATTACTGCCAGAAAACACCCACATGATGGTAAGTCTGGGTGGAGGGAAAAATCAGAGGACTGCAAGCAAGCCGCCTTTACGGCTGGTTTCACTTTGTTTCGCCGTGACACCAGCAAGAAAGGGGGCGCCTAACATGAAACTGCACTAGTTGATCATTCCAACAAGCAGACATGGTTGTGTCTGCTTTTAGGTAAACAAACATGGAAGTGGACGTCCCCGCTGAAGGAAAGTTGTCTAGGAGTCTGTGAACCACGCTTGTTTCTACGAGGGTATCCGGTACACCAGCGACAAACCAAAGGGATGACTAGCCACCTATTTTCACCCTACGGCGCTTTGTTTTTAGGGAACCAAGGAGAAGCAACAACAAAAAAGGCCCAGACTTAGTCACATTTGATGCTCGACTCTATCCGAAAAAGCTGCCCAAACCCAACGCTTTTTCGCTCCCACAGCAGTCGCTCCAAGCCAGCTCTCTCAACCCAAATCTGGGCCCTGCCTGGGTGGCAACACATTGTCTTTTGGTTGAGGGTGCCCATGTTGGTGCATCTGAACCGGCCATCAAAGATTCACCTGAGACCCGCAAAATGAAGAACCCCAAGAAAACCCACAAAGGTTCAAAGGTCCTCCAGTAGGGAGCTTAGAATAAGTTGGTACCCGATTTTTTTTTCGGTTTTGTCTATTCTAGTAGGGGAACCCTCCCCTTGGTAGAGAAGGGCACCAATTGCTGGACGACCTAAAGGCTCAAAGGTGGATTGGTCCAGGCAGCTTCGTTGACCAAGGCGAGACCTTCCCTCTGGAGACCCAGGCTCTTTGTGGATGTCTGCCTTTACCTGCTCACGCAGCCGATGCTTCAACCTGGCAGGACGGATCTCAAACACAAAGTCACTTGAGCCCCTTTTCTAGGGGTTGATTCCTTGTCCATTCTTTTCAACCATCGTTCTTTTCAAAAACCGGATCCGTTTCCCTTGGGTTTTTGATGGTTTCCTGAAAAGTTAGGATCCCTGGAAAGAATGGGGAAGGTACCCCTAGACCTTTGGGTGGCCTTTCTGGGGTGGCGACCCCAAAATGTTCAACGAAAATCCCAGGCCAAACAATGTTTATTAGATCAAGCTCTGTCTGTTAAAACCGGAACCATTTGTGTTAGGTCTACTAAACCCCTCCTGCCCTCAAGAAGGTCGCCGTTCTAAGCGGTGGTTTTCAAGTAACGGGGGCCTGCCAAGCTGCACTTGGAAAGATCTTGGAAAGAAGATGCGGCGACAAAAAAGGAGCGCTCCCTTCAAGGAGCTGTAGATAGAATAAGTTGGTACCGTTTCCTTCTCTCGGCTTTGAAACTATTTTAGGGGAACCCTCCCAACCAAAAAAGTTGGGTGAGAGGTCGGGCACCAATTGCTGGGGGACCACTACTCCTTTCAAGGAGCTCTCCCAGCGTGCTTGTTCTTGAACCCAAGGCTTTGGAGTTTTCTCACGAACACCCAAGGGAAACCATCCTCAGTTGAAGGACCTGGAAATAAAAGGTTAACCTTTTGGGGCCATGACTTAAAATAGACCAAATCACTTTGGGCAAGTGAGCATCTGTGTTAGGCCCGTTAAGCCCACCCACCACCGTTTTTGGGGATGAATGTCCCTTGTCCACCACGCGTGGATACTTTGGCCGAGGCTGGAGGCGAAGCCTATGACCGACACTGGGCGCACTTCACTTGCTCAGCCCGGTCGTGGTAGACTTCCTCCATCAAAGACCGACCTAAGCGATGGCTCAGTCAACATCTCTATTCCCAAAAGCCTAGGATCAGCCAAGGATAAGCCCCCAACAAGGCCGTATTTAGGTCTGAATAGGTGATAGAACCCCCTCCCCATAGACGTTCTCCTTGTTGGCAAATTTGGTGATAACTGACATGAGCTGAACTAAAATGGTTTTCTGGCATCTTAGCATGCAATTCGGACACACACACACACTCAAACTATATCGTACGTATATCTGTGCATGCATAAACATATAGACTAAAATGGGTGGTGCACCTACCCCAAAAGGGTAACATTGGTTTTGACCCACAGCCACATCAGGGCGTTCCCAAAATATGTGGTTACCTCCTTGGTTTCCCTTGAAAACACCCAGCAAAGGTTACCCTCCAAAAGACAGACCCGGACGTCTGTGCAGCTGTGCATAATTGTATAGACAGACATACAAACACATTCGACAAGTCATTTGAGATGCAACGACATCTCGAGGCCACTGGCGAGCAAGCTCTTCCTTCTCCCACTGCACGTATCTCTTCTGCCACTGGCGTTCAGACCTCGGTCAAGTGCTTGTTCTTTGTTTAGAGTAATCACTCATGTGTATTGGTAGAATCGGGCAGTATAAACATTGCAGGAAAAGGGTTTTGGCGCCCGACACTAGTATCTCCAGAAGCATGAGGGAAACACAGCAAGACACCAGACAGAACATCCCATGAATGAAGTGCGACCTTTCAAACCATTCTTGCTCGAAAGCTTCAGAGACGGAACACAACTCATTGGTTTGGAATGTGAGCGAGTGCTTGTCCCTTCTCTCCATTCCGACTACAGAAGTGTGGGGTTGACTTTCTTTACGGGTACTGTATATCATCTGTTATACGTTTCGCATTTCGTCCCTCTTTGGCCGATCATCTGCAGAGAAACAAGCGATATGAACAACAAGTCGCTGCAAAAAAACAACCAAAAAACAAGTCCTTTCTCACAAAACTCCTCCAAATAGATGTCATTTTGGGCTCCATGTTCATCTGCTGGAGAGTAATTAAGAAACCCAAAGCACTGGTCTTAAACAATATGCAATGGATTCCGTTCCAGCAATTACATTCCGCAAGCCTCTCTTGGGAACAAACACCTGAAATTTCCCTCGAAAGTCCAAATCAGAGGAATTCCAGCCTGGTTCTCAACGGGGTTTCCCCCACTTCCTGAGGTCAGCACTCTTCATGCTGCAAGCGCAGCAGCTCCTCCTCACTAGCTGCCTGACATCTTTTTGACCGCAAACTGGCTGGATTCCTTCTGTTTGAGCTACAGTTGATTTCATTGTGACTCCAACTGACATGATGATTTGAGGAGTATCCCCGCACATGTCCAAATGGCGTAAGTAAGAAGGAATTGACGTGTCCAACCCAAACACCACCCGCCCTCAAGGAACTTCAATTGTACCCATTCAACCCCCGCCCGTACCAGGGAAGACACCCGACGCAAGTGATGGTAAAGGCCGACCATTCCCCGAAAAAGCCCTTGGAGGCGGGGGCTTGAAGGAATCTCAAGTGCCTCAAAGGTTGTGAGCTTTCGGAGTATCCCATTCTATCGCCCAAATGAGAAGCAGTATCAGAGTCCTGTTCTGTACTTCCGAAAATAGGACACTCCGGGCGAGTTTCCCATTTGACTGCTCGAATCTTGTCGATGACCCCAAAGGGGGCCTCAAATCCTGATTCCATTGGGGGCAATCAGCAAATGGAACCTTGCCTGCCAAAATTGGTGATGCTTCCAAAACTCAACCACCCTCAAAGCAAGGCCTGGTGTCTCTTTTGTCCCCCTGGAAACAAGCTCAAAGGACCCCCTGTTCCACACGGATAGCTCACTTACTGAAGTGTTTTTTCGTAGATGCTTGTTGTTTCTTCTTGTCGTGTCTTGGTCACCCCCTTGTTGCTATTTAGTGGGAAAAGTCATCATTTTTCCAAAGTCAAAGTCCAAAGAACCAACCAAGTGGCTGCCAAGCCAACATCCAGGTAGATGGCAGATTTGCACGATCCGGAAAGCTCGCAAAGAACTTGTTGGCAGAACCTATTTGCCATGGACTAACTAGATGATTCTGCCTGGATGTCCATGCACAGTTGCCACAAACTGTGTAGCTTTGCATCTGATATGTCATAGTGCTACCTAAACTTGGAGCATCATGTCCAAGCAAACATGACAATATTGTTTTCAGAAGGAATACCCTTTCAAAACCTTTCAGGGCCGTACAAAAGAACCCGAGACGAGTTCGAACAATCTAAGATACGACGTTGGCCCCTCTATTCAAAAGACAGAAGTAACAACGTGCATGTCTTCACTGGTCTTCTGTTTCAAACTACCAAAGGCAACAAGGACTCACCTCCCCTTTTGTGGTAGAATCGGGGGGAAAACCTTGGGCCTCCATCCCATCCCATCCCATCTCATCCCCAGGAAGGGTTCTGATCGAAGGTTCTGCAAGTTCTGAGAACCACTCCCCTTTTTGTGGGCGGGAAACGGGACACCTGCCCCCCCCCCCCCCCAGCAGAGTGGGTTGTGATACTTTAACGGCTTCTGATCCAATGATGCAGGGAACCCAGGAAATTCTGATGAGAAACCGAACCGAGCCGTACTTAAACAGGTTAGGTTTCCGGAAACCGAACCGAACCGAACCGTGGCCACTCTGCCAATGGCCATGGCCTCGGCCTTCGCCTTTCCTCGCCTTTCCTCGCCCCAAGCGGCAACGCGCCTTCCTCGCCATCTCCAGCTTCAAGGCCTCCGTAAACCTCGAGACGAGAGGAGCCGACCGAGACGACACCATGTCCTTTTCTTTGCTGCGACGACTCGGCAAAAAGTGGTTCACTGGTGGGTTTAGTGGAAAACCGAAAAGTTCACGTCCGAAAAGCTTTGGTTAAAGTCTAAAGATCCGTTGCCCAACTGTCAAGTCCGTTGCCCAACTGTCAAGTCTTAGGTACATCTGAATGGCTCGCGCCCAGCGTCAACCCACCTGTCCTCTGGACCATCAGATTTGTTTTTTTAGCCCTGGCTTGTGGACAAAATGAAAAACCGGTTTGGGGCTTTGAACAAAAAAAAAGAGCCCCCAGTGGCTTGTGCGCTTGTTGGCTTTTTTGTTTGGTCAAGGGGAAAAACAGGCAAACACCCTATGAATAAGGGGTCTCCCTCTCTCTTATGACACAAGCCCGCGCAGGTCAACTTTGCCCCATTTTGTGTTTGGTTCACGTGCAGAAGTTCGGCACTCGGAGGAATCTGGGTGGTCGTTTGGCCGAATCCAATTTGTAGAAAACAACACCTGTACTCTTCGGGTCACATCGAAACATATTTTCCCAATCAGGTTGTCTAAAAGTGGACAGGCTGATTACAAATGAACAACTTGTGGACAACGCCGCTTTCAGAGTGCAAGGGTGTCCCTGTTTCCAACGCGCAAAGATGTGAATGTTTGATTGAACTATCTGAGTTTCGTGTTTTTCTTGAGGATAGACACTTTTTGGTGCTTTGAAAGGGAATGCCTCAAGCCCACGGAACCCATGCCGCACTCGCGTATTTCGCATTCCCCACGTGGCCCCGGGCTCCATGGCCTTCCTCTTCGCCTTGATCTTCTCCGCCTGATCCCGGAAGCGAGTCGCGAACGGCGCTTTGTCTCGGATTTGGCAAAGCTCCCAAAAAAATGGGCGGTGCCCTTTCAGATTTGGGTTCCCTTTCAAACCTGCCCAACGAGTCAAAAGAGTCACTTGGGATGCACTTTGAAGGATCGTTCGCTTTCAGATGTGTCTCAGATTGTCTCAGATTTGGTTCCCTGTCAAGGCTTCCAAAAGAGTCACTTGGGATGCGAATTGGAACGAAGCCCTAGTGCCTTTTGTTGGGTTTCACGGTTTCACCTCCGTTTTTGTGAGAAAATCCATCCTGGCCAGAGCGGGTCCTTGTCCATTCGAACTTTGGCGCCTCCTCCTGCTGGGCAATCTGCCGTTCGCGCTCCAGAACGCCATGCACAAAGTTCCTCGGCCGCGCTTCCCTCTCAGGAATGAAACTGGAGCTGTGGGCCATCCGCAACGCCAAACCGCCGCAACGCTTTGGGTGAAGCGAACGGCAGCTTCGCCCCGCAGCTTTGCCCCGCGGCTCTTCCCGGCGATCCGGCCCAAAATTGAAACGGATCCCTTTCTCGAGGCTCCTCTTTTGCAACACCAGCTGGCACTAGGGGTTGATTCCTTGTCCATTCTTTTCAACCATTCTTTTCAAAAACCGGATCTGTTTCTTTTCGGTTTTTGCTGGTCTCCTTAAAAGAAGGATCCCTGGAAAGAATGGGGAAGTGTCCCCTAGAATTATCTGCCTGGAGAACGTCAGCCATCGGAAGGAATGCCTTTCCACTAGAGGTGATGGTTCAAACCATCAAACAAGGGGAAGTATAGGGACTTTAGTGGGTTCATGACTCCAAAGCAGACCGAATTGCAAGGTTCTCTTGAACGAGGGCGGCACTTATCGAAATCCTTTTCCTGTCGCTCCTCCTCTGCTCTCTGCATCTGGCAAAAGCAAAGACGGGAGCATGGCATGCAACTTTCGACACATTTGGCAGAATGCTGTGCCTCAAATTCAGCAATGGGGTCCCAAACCCACTCACTTCTGGTTCTAGGAAAAAATGGGTTTGTATGGATGTCTACTTTCACGGTATCGTATCCTTTATTGAAAGGGAAACCAAAGGAACCCATCTTTGAAAAGACAGCTCTCATCATAAAACCTATACTAACTTTTTCCAATGGGCGGGCCACAAAGAAAAATCCTACGAGAGCCCTCTGTGCGAGGCCCGCTGTTTTGGTTCCAAGGGCTCCTCTCGAGACGTGGAGTCCTGGAATGAATGAAACCCTTTGGGATAAATCGACAAACCACCTGCATCCCAGACCATGGGAAACAAAGGCCGCCCATCTTGGGTTCGAATTTAAAGAGACCCTCCAGAATAAAAACAGAAAGGCACTGGTCATAGGTGGCTTTCGGAAAAATAAGATGGCCCTGGTACATGGAATAAACCCCATCTAAACCAGGAATCGCCCTCTATTTTTAAGCAAACCAACCAAAAAATAACACCTATGGCTCTGGTGTGTCACCTCACCTTAGCCGCGCCTGCTGGATGGCCATGTATTCATCTGCCTTCCTCCGCTCCTCAGACATGATGAACCCAGTCACGGTGCGCCCAATCTCTTTAACCATGCTTCCCCTGAGTTTCAACAGCCTGCTTTTGGCTTCCCGTGCTTTACAGGGGACCAGGGTTCAGATGTTTTAACCAATCCTGCCCACCCTACTTTCAGGTCAACAGCTCCCTGCCAGAAACCGCCATGTGTGCAGCCTCTTAGCTTGGCCCAAATCCGAGGCACACCAAACAACCACCTATTTTTTTCAGATGCGGTTCTTTGAATAGTGGGATCCTTGTCAGACTGGATAGTTTGGATGGAATAACTTTCAGTCTGGACAAGAATTGTAGAATCTCTTCTAAGCCAACCATTTCGTCTACCCTGAAAAATACAACATCACAAAATTGAGGAGACAGCTCAGCTGAGGCGCACGCTTCCTGTGCATAGATCCGGGATTGGACCACCGCCTTCTTCTCCTCACATCTCGCTATTTTCGTCTAACCCGGCCGGCTCCCCGAACAGGTCTTTGCTTTGGGAAGCAAGAGCTACCTGGAACGCCGAAAAACATGTTGTTGCTTTTTGGCAAAAGGCTTTGACGTTGGAAGGGGGAGCTGCAAAAAGAAGGCTGCAAGGCGGAGCTGTGTGTCTGGGTTGACGTTGGGTTTGGGGAGCAACAACTTATTTGTTTTGCATTTTTTTGCAACCACTAACCCACAATAAGCAAAAATGGGAAAAATGTAAGTCCCAACAACAACCATGGACACCCCCTGAGGCCGGAACGTCTTCCTCTTGCTCTGCCCAAAGCTTCTTCAATCGATCAGCCTCAGCAAACACACCGAAGCTCCTCTGGCCCTTTCTGGAAGCGCGTGTGTCTCAGTGTCTCCAATATAGGTGACCCCTGAGAAAAAGATGATGTCCTTTTTGCCCTTCCCTGTAAAACGGAAAGCCAAAAATGGGGGAGGGTTCCTCTTGTGACCAAAGGCGAAGTCAAGGAGTCACGTCTCGAGCTCTAAGCTCCGGACCTCCACTGCCTCTTCCTCCTTATCCAGTTCCACCTGAGAGATGCGGTGGAAAAAGAGCTTCAACCATGCAGGTGTGTGTGTCAAAGGGAACCTCTAACATAGGGTGGTGTGCGTTTGGTTTCCCTTTGAAACGACCCCCATACAGAGGTTACCCTAAACTTAGGGCAACCAGGTGAGCCACAAGCAAAACCCGGTACTAAAATGGTAAACCCAGAACCATGTAAATAATTCAGAAGGCGGCCGCAGCTATTTATGGCTGGGATTGGCCCTTACTAACCTTCATCTACCCGGGTTTTGAGCAAGTGGCTCAGGTGACTTTCTGAGGGGCCCGCTCTCTCCTTCTTCATGTCGAGCTGAATTCCCAAAGTCGCCTTCTGCCTCAGCTTGCTGGCTTGCATTGGCACATTCCCGGGAAGAACATCTACGAACCAGCCACTGGGGGTGTCCGTTCTTGAAGGTATCCTTTTTGAGGCTGGTTTAAGGGGGGGAAGAAAACTTGATGTTGGGAGGTTTTGCAGGTGATGCAAATAAACAAATCCAACATGTTTGCACATTGCGATCAATCTCAGCGTCGCCTCCTATTCCCTACCTGCAACATTAACAGAATCAAACACACTGATGGGACACACTGCTGCGCACTACTTGAGACGGGGATGCTCACATCGGAAACCACCGGCTGGTTCCAACCGGTCCGTGGATTGTGTGGACCCACGACTCTGCAGGTAAGGCGTGGGCTGCTCATTGCGACCATGCTTCAAAGCCTGGCGCAAGCGGCGCAGTTCAATTTCATTCCAGGGGTGCTTGTACATACTCCTTTTACAGTCCCCTTGGACAAATGAATCCAAAAGGCCTGCTGATGTTCATACCCCGTTTTGCAAAAGGGGTAGTATATACCCCTTATAAGGTGGGTTGGAAATGAACAAGGGGTATGTACTTCCACCTACCTGACTTTTCGAGGCTGACACTTTTGGGTCCTGGTAAACTTTCCCACAGGGTCATGGTTTCCATTTTAGTGGGAGGATAATGCCAGGGGTTTCCCCAAAACGGGAACTATGTTTAAGTCTTTCACACCTTGCACTGGGTGTGTCTCAAAATAGTATATGGCCCATGGCTCAAAATTTAAGAGCCAGGGTTACGCAGGTCTTTGGCTTTGGTCCCATCTACCTTTTGGTGCCATTTTGGTACCACCTCCTTTGAGCCACCGCCATATGGACCCCTCCAAAATGGGTGGCTTCCTTTTGGTGTCCTGGACCCAGAAGGGCTCCGCGCCTTCTCCCGCTCCTCGCGCTCGATCTTTGCCAAATATCCCTCATGCCTCAAATTCCAAGCAAAAGGCACCGCTGTTCATGGCGGGCCTCAAAAAGGGCCCACAAAAATGGGTGGTTGCTGGTGGTTTTTCCTTTTTGGGCGGATCCCCGTTTGGCTTCCAAAAAAGAGAACCGAAAATGGCACCACAAAATGGCACCCGATGGGTCCGATGGGTCCCATGCCAGAGCTTGGCATAGAAGTCATCGATGCCCTTCTCCTGAGGCAAGGTCTACGCTAAGGATGCGTTTGGGCCCCGAAGCTGTGTGTCTTGACGTTGGGTTTGGGGCGCAACAACCTATTAAGTTTTTTGCGAGTTAAGTGGTTGGATTTCAACCACCAAACGACAAGAAGCAAAAACGGGAAAAATGTAAGTCCCAACCAGGCCACGGTGGAAGGGGACCATCCCCAACCTCAAAGGAGACGAGGTTTCAGCAGAACTCATATGGGAGTGGCTCAAAATTATACAGGAGGGGCAAACCGCAGGTTTTGGTCCATGGTTCCACTTTACCAGGGCAACCCATTTTGGAATTCCGAAGCCACAGGCAAGCTGCATGCACAGATACCAAACTCAAACAGTTCGAAGCCTTTGAACAATTCACACAGGGCGCCAGAACATTGAGCATTCGCACTAAGCTTACTTTTCCGTGCATGGAATGCTGCCTGATTCTTGGGCATTCCCTTCAGAAAGGCCGTTTCAAAACAGGGATTTTCCCTTTAGGAAGGGAATCCCAAACGGGGGTCCCCGATTTGTGCGTTGCCTCTGCTTTGCGGAGAGCTTTGTCGTCCAGCTGGAAATCCCTGGCAGAGCAGTCAAACAGCTTGAGTCACATGCTCTGGCTCGCGTCACAGGGTCGTTTTAGTGAGTCCTGAGTCCCATCCTGTGCCTTCAAGGAGAAACCACAAGTAAGGATCCAGCTAAACAATCATAACGTGGCTGTTTTTCGTTTTCTCTGGGAGCAACCCAGCCACACCATCAATGCGCTGACACAATCACCGCGCTTGAGCTGGCCACACATGATCAAAGTCACCCCAAAGTGGTGGGTTAAAGGGAAACCACCAACCATTTTCTGACTTTGATAACCCCCAGAAACCGTCAAAAGAGTGTCCCCAGTTGAGTTGTCAAGGTAGGACATGTTGTGAAGCCGTGCTATCGGCGCCTATCTGCGATGGTCTGCAGCTCCACGATCTTGGAGTCCATCGTCCGAAGGTCATCTATGCCTGGAGTCGATGAGTCGACCGCCCCCATCGACAGCCGGTAAAAGGGTCAACCATGCGCAACGCTGAAAGGAAAAACCGAAGGGAACCAAAAGGAGCCAAAGCAAAGGAAGCCCTTCACAACTTTGAACCTTGCGGTTTCACCAGCTTGGAACGGCCAAAAAAGCGGTTTGGTATGAAATTCCATTTGGTCCACCGGTTGAGGGTGATAGCCAGCCATGGTCCAAGCAGCCAATGTCAGCGGCTTCATATACCCATTTGATTGAGGGGATCTGAACCACTTCCGCAAGAGTTGCCTGCGTACTGAACTCCGGGGTCACAATTGGTGTGGGTTCATCCTTAAGATTCACAGCCATTGTCTTCTTTGCATGGGACAGTGAGTCCACTGGTTTTGGGGAATTTTCCGAGTCCCCCCCCCCCAAGCAGACTGCTAACTTTGGATTTGATGTTCCTGAGGGTACCATTTTTAGTACCATGGTTTTACAGGGACACCAAAAGACAACCAAAGGGAAAAACACAACTTTGGGGTCTCGAACAAAAAGACACTCCCATTTGGCTGTGGCTCAAAAAACCGGAATTCCAAAATGGGTTGCCCTGGTAAGTGGAAACATGGACCAAAGCCTGCGGTTTGCCCCTCCTGTTTCATTTTGAGCCACACCCATTTTGTCACCTGAGCCACTTGCTCAAAACCCGGGTAAACGAAGCTTAGCAAAGGACGATCCCAACCATAAATAGCTGCTGATAATTCCAGCATGGCTCTGAGAGTACCATTCTAGTACCGGGTTCTCAGCAAGTGACTCACCGTTCCAAACTTCCGGGCTCCTTGGGCAAGGCCCGCATCGGTTTGCCCGAAGCCGAAGCCCTTCCCCCCTCTTTGGGTGGATAGTGGCCGCTGAACAGAGATCTCGGGTTCAAGAATGGACACGCACTCAAGGATGAGCTGGGCGATTGTATCGCCCTTCTTCATGGTGAAGTCATCGCGCCTGCCCGCCATTGTTGGTAGAGCTTCTCCTGGACGACCGCCTTCCGCTCGTCCTGTCGCCAGGCGGCAAAAACGTGCCCCGCTCCGGTCCAACCACAAAACAAAAACCGGGGGAAAACGCAAATTCCCGCCCAACTCCCAAACCCAAAGAAAAATGTGAGAAAAAACAAGAAACAAAAACAACAAAACGCCTCTTGTGGTTTCTGTAGGTGCTATTCTTTTGGAAGGAACACCCCATGATAATCCATCAGGTTGATGTTCCGGCGTCGGCTGTAAGGGCCCAAGCAATGCCTTTGCAGGCATGAAAGCGGAGAGCTTTTTTTGGATGAAAGTCTTCCAAGCCTCGCGTTGGCAAAAAGGAACGCTGCGTTCAGAGTTCAGTGAAGTTCAGTGTATCAAATGTTCCGTCTAACCTAGGTTGCCCTCACATCCCCCGAAAAAAAGTGACTCACTTTTAGTGGGTTACATGGAAACTACCACTTAAGCACTAAAAGGCTAAAAAGCTGAGGAACCGGATGGCTGGGAGCCACCAAGCAACGTTTTGGCTCCCGCCTCTCGGCGCTTCTTAAGCTCATACGCGCGGGCCTGAGCGCAGAGTCCCGCGAATCGGGTGTCAAATCTGCCAGCATTAAAATGGCATACCCCTTTGTTGCTCATTTTTTTGGAAACACATACTTTTTGGGGGCTTAGTGGAAACCACCATTGTTTCCAAAAAAGTGAAAGTCTAAAGATCCAACCCAATAGCATTCAAGACCTGAGCCTAAGCTCGCTAGTTCAGACCAGTCACCGACAGGAGTCAAGAAACGGGTGCACCTGACAAATACCCACAGTTGCTTGAGGCCGCATGTTAGCTTGCACGTATGGCAATGCAAGACGGCCTTGCTGGGGCCTCGGCAGACATTCGCTCCATCCGCTGTGCAGGTGTCTCTTCTCGCTCGACCATCTCTTTCTGCCAAGCCTTGCAGAATGCCCCAAATCTCCGCGAACGATTCCTCTGTTTCTGACTTACCTTGGCCAGCTTTGTGCCAAGCACAGGAAAAATCATAAGGGTATGGGTTTGGATAGGGGGTCTTTGTGGACATGAGGTACACAGGCCACCAACCATTTTCAGGGTGCTCTGCATTGAATTTGGGTAATGTGTCAACATCGGGGCATCCCTCAAAATGTTGGTTTTCCGCTTGACTTCCCTCTAAACTAGGGTGAAAAGGGGACCCTCAATAAAACCACACACCCGTTTGGAAACCTGCTGTCGCGCAGGTTTCAACGCTGGCGAGCCTTCATCTCATCGGACAACTTCTTTGCAAGTTGATACCTGCGGTCCTGCGCCAGGAATGGGTGTTGTGTCCAAGGAGGGAGCCACTTGGATAGTTTGATATTGAACGGGACACCAACAGAGACAAATGTCTGGAGGGCTACCAATTTTTGAGAAACACCCACATGGTACCCCACAAAAAGATGGGACGTGGACCTCCGAAAATCTATGCCCCGGTAACGTTTGGCGAGAAAGAAACGCCGATGTCGGTAGCTCAGAAAGTCCCGTGTCACTATTTCTTCACCAGAAAAGCGGTTCTTCAAGAGGGTGTCAATGACAGGAACCACTCCACATTTGCCAAATCATTGGTTTTATGCTGGTTTCCTGTCAACAAGATGAGAAGTGAGGCAGCTAGGTTGGTCTTCGCACACTTCCGAGTCAGCCTGTCCTGCAACTGGGCTTGTTGCTGCGCTTGCATATTTGAAACCTGCAGGGCAACTGGCAGCCATCAGTTGCGTCGCGCATGAGGACGACAACGAGAGAACAGGGGACCGCAATAAAAACACATGAAACCAAATCTCATCAGCCTGCAAAACCGATCTGCGAACTCGGTTCACTGACACCCTGGTAAAACTTTGGCCACCTTCTGCTGCTCACATGGCTGTGGGTCAAAAATAGGAACACCCCAAATGGGTTCCCCTGGCAAATGGAAACATCGATGATTTAACCGGTCCATATCCTGGTGGTTTCATTTTGACCCATACCCAATTGATGACTGGGCATGAACACAAATGCCAAAAGGGACGAACTCACTTCCTACCCTGGCCAGCTGGCAACCTTCCGAGGCGACTTTCGAGCCTTGCCCTTGATGCGGTTGTTGCGAATGACGTTCATCATCCGATTCTCCCAGTGTCCCTTCTGCTCTACCTGGCATCGATTGCCGCTTCCCTACAGCTTTGATTGCCGACTTCGCCGACTTTTTTACGGTACGGTCCTCCAGATTTGAGCGGTTTGAACAAGTTGGAACCCGATTTTTTTTCGGTTTTGTACTCTCCCCCCAGAAAAGGAGAGAAGGGCACTGCTGGGGGACCTGGTTACCATACGGCTTTGTCTCAAGGGTCCCCCTTCTTGCCAAAGAAGAGGCTTCCCCTCAACCCCCCGACCACCCCACCTGGTTGTTGGACAGTACTTGGGATTTATGGAAAAAAGCCGTGGGGACCCGGGTAGCTTTTGCCCTTCAAAACCAAGAGAAAAGGAAAACGAAGCAACACGACATCCCACGAGAATTTCTCGGACATCCCGTTGCCTTGAACTGGTCCAGCTGGCCAGCAACTCGTGTCTCATACTGGAACTCCTGCAGGCTTTTAGCTGGAAGCTGACGTTTTTATTTTTCTTCTCACCACTTTTGAGGTGACATCGAAATTCACTGCATTCAAATCAATGAAGCCCTGCGCACTTGGGCTCCATTATCTTACCTTTGTTAAAGTCAACCTTGTGGAAGGTTTGAGGCAGAACCAGAATCACTCTCAAGGACACCTGGCGAGGCCCAGCCGCAAGCTGCCATGCTTCTTGAAGAAAGATCGCCATGGCTCCTCTTCCTGTCGCTTCAGGATGGCTCGATCTGGTCGAATCATCATGGCGGCCATCGCTTTTGCGAGGCCTGTGCCGAGACGGTGAGAACACATTCAGCTGGTTGAACCACGTGGGGTCATAATCAAACCCCAGTGTTAAAATGGTCGTAATCCCAGAACCATGTAAAGCAGAAGAAGCCCGCAGCTATTTATGGTTGGGATTCTCCCTTTCTAACCTTCATCTACCCGGGTTGATTGCGGCTCACGTGGGGGTATGCTACTCGACGCATTAGTTCCCTTCCCCAAACGAACACATCAGCATTGGGCCCGGTATGGGACTCCCTCGCCCCTCAACCCGCCGGTGTCTGGCCTCGAGGACAGTCAACTTGCCACCAAAGATATGACCCCAGAGGTGGCAAGCTGCCTTGAATAGAGAATGGCAACACAGGCCATCGATGAAACCTCGATCCACCCCAAGGCGATCTCCATTTAAGTGGGTTGGGTGGCGCGCTCTTGACCATAGCACATGTTGACTGGCTCTGACACGCTCCGACTCTTGTAGCTGCATGTAGCTGCCACTCTCGCTTCTTTTCTCGAAGGCGACCCTCAGTCTATGGGAACAAAAGCCCCAGAACAAACAGAACTCAAACAAACGACCAATGCATAAACCATTTCGCCGGTCCCTTCAACGGTAGGCAGGTCCATTTGCCGACTTGCGTCCAAGTCGGCAAATGACTGCCACAGAAACAAAGATTGCGCGGGCGAGCAGCGGGACCCCACAAACCAAGCTGACACTTGGTACCAAGATGCAAAAGGTTTATGTCTCTTGGCCTTGTTGCAACAAGGAATGAAGGCAGAACCACAGTCTATCCCGAATCAGGATGTGTTGCAAGGCATAAGGCCTACAAGTAGAGCCACCTTGAAAATCGCCCTTTGGGGTTTCGGGCGCTGCGAAAGGCCAAACCTTAAAGGCTTTGGCGCGCGCTTTTCTGGCGCCTTGCCCGAGCCAACTGGGCTCAGCTCGCTCTCAGCTCAGGTCAGGTGCCAAGGGCCTGAGACGTTACCCAAGCTTGGAGCTTGCCAACGCCAAGCCAGTACCAACAATGCAAAAGAGGCGTATGAAAGAGGCTACCCTGAAAAAGCCCGCTCTAGAAATACTGTCATCCTTTGTTGTTCTTGTCTCTATTGTTTTTGTGTTTGTTTGGGGGGGGGGGTGCAAAAATTTTCCGGAGGGGCCCCCGATGCGCTGGTCTCTCTTCACCAGCCAGTCGCCTCCTGCTCGACATGGCTGGAGCTGGTGCGAAGTGCCTGGCAAAAGCTTTCCAAGACTCCCTGCCTCCCATCACTACTCTTGGTATGGTACCGAAAAACTGTGCTGTTTGCAGACCCCCAGTAAAAATGAACAGAACCCAAAAACTGAAAAACCAAAAAACATGCCAAGAACAGTGAAGCTCCAGTAGAGAGAATAGAATAAGTTGGTACCGTTTCCTTTTCTCGGTTTTGTCTATTTTAGTAGGGGAACCCTACCCAACCAAAAAAGGGGTGAGAAAGGGCACTACTGGGCGAAAAAAGCTCCTACACTAGACTGAGCGAATTACCCTCCCAACCACTCAACATGACCAGCGCCCCTGGAAAACCATTTCCCTGTGAAAGGAGGTCCCTCTTGCGGGTTCCATGCTAGTTGGTGGCACAGTGGTTCACCAAAGTTCACCAACTTCATGAGTTGCGGTGGCAATTTGTGAGTCTGCGACTTCACATGTCCGACATCAAACAAATGGTGGCAAACAAGAAGAACAAAAACCCTGCAAGCCCAAAAATAAGGCCAACTTTGACCATGGCACATATCTAGGCTTACGCTAAACAGTGTTGTCTATCACATGATGTGTCCTCATCATGAGCCAAACGCCAGGGGATGGACTTGGAAGCCTTGACTCGCTGCCCATATCCTCTTTGAGCTGAGCTCCTGTGCGAGAGCGAGACCCCAGGGCCCAGAATGACTCTCTCGGCTTCCTCAGCGAAACTTGCTCGCAACTTCTGTGCCGGCTCCTCCCTGCCTTTTTCCCCCGGGAAGTCAACCCCGAAAAAAAAGAAAAGAAAAGTCGACGAAGCTTCAGGACCTATTCTTGGTTGCTGTTGACCCCCTGCAAAAAGTTTAACTTTTTGGGGGTTTAGTGGAAAACACCTTTATGTGAACCAAAAAGTTAAAGTCCAAAGATCCAACCCAATAGCGGTCAAGTATTCAGCTGCCTTTGCGACGCTTTCCAGGAGTGACTCTCTCCTGAGGTGCGCTCCGCGGACACCTCTTTGTCCTTGCCACTCAGTGCCCACCGTGCAGTAGCCAGGAAGATCTGTCAGCCAAGCGGAGGCGAGTCAAGAAACGCAGAATCAGCCTGGACCCAGTGACGAGAAAGGACCAAAACGACGGCACTTTTGGGGTAGGAGTCCATTCCTACCCCAAAAAAACATCAAAATGAGGCAAACATCTGCATGACTCTAAGCCACCGATAAGAGACCTTCATGGGTGACCTTGTCCCCCCCCTCCAGGTGCGTTTGCTGAAATTAGTGCAAACATATATATATATATATATGTGACATCCAGCTTACAATATCATCATATGTTTGACAAACTGAACTCTCGCTGCTTCAACTGAAGGAGTTCCAGTATACATTTGTGTGTTTGTGTGTCTGTGTGTTGCATTGACTAGCAACATACCGAAACTTGTTGGGCCTTGACCAAAGTGGCGAAGACATCAGCTAACGCAAAGTGAACCAAGTTTGCCAAAAAAAAGTCATTGCACACGAAAACAATTGCATCTAGGGTGTGCTTTAGACCATTGGTTTCGATGCGGGCCATAGCTCACTTTGCTTTGGATCACGGCAAAGTGTGCCTCACATCTAACGTGGAGTTCGCAAGGACCATCCTGGCCCTAAACTGCTGGCGTGGGACTGAGCTACGCTGCCAAATCGTGCTTCTTTAATCAGGGTACCCGTTTTGAGAAAAAGCTTAGGACGGAAACCCGGGGGACCAAACTCTGCTTTTTGTTTCTTCTTTTAGTTGTTTTTCTCGGGTTCTCTGGAAACGATTACATTTGACTGCAAGCGACCAGTTACGCTGGTCTTTTGTGGCTTCTCGTGACCTGGTGATGTGTGCTTGAAGAATTCAGTGCTGGCTAACGAACACGAAACGCAGTGGCCCCATCCCTCTCGCACAAGGGTATCATCTACTTAGTCCTTTCCAGGTACCGTATCATTTTGTGGGTACCAGCATTTAACAACAAGCTGACAGGGCACACACGCACACACTCAAACTCTGTCCGGATCATGATTTGACTCACCCATGCCTGCACGGCGTCTGGCACAGTATGAAAGATGAGAAAATAGACCCACACCTTGCAGGTGGCTCCAACCAGCTTCACACTTCATTCTTCACTTTATCCGTCACTCGCTCCCTCTCTCTCTCTACCTCTCTCTCTCTCTCTCTCTCTCTCGCTCTCTCTCTCTCTCTCTCTCTCTCTCTCTTTCCCTCCAATTGAATGTGACACCAACTCAAGACGCACGCATACACACATACATGCACAACCACACTCTAGAAGCAGTCTGACATCATACACACACGCACACACACACACACTCACATACACACACTCACATACAATCACGTTCGTATGATCAGGACACACACCTGTGGACATGTTCCTCTCATGGATGGCTCCAAAGAGTCAAATCTTTGGGCTGGACTGCAGCAGCTATGCACATCAGGAGGTGCCTGCAATGCATGCATTGCGCCCCCCCCCCCCGGCGGTCTCCGTGCATTGGAGGGCCACAACTCTCTCTCAGTCATGGCTGTGCCAAAACAATGGGTACTTTTGTGAACTGCTCTCAGGGGTCAGCGCACATTCCAGACCCAAGCAAGCACCAGGATAAACCCTTGACATGGCCATTCGTCACGTCAATCTTTGACCGGATCCAAAGAAACACTTTCGGCCATTCCAATTTTGGACAGGGAAACAACTTTCGGAGCAGTGCCCCTAGCAGGGATCCTTACATTATACACCTGAACATTGCAACTTGTACATGGTGGTTTCCCTTTCTTCTGGTGTTGAAAAAGCCACATGTTTCAAATGGTTGCAAAAATGGAGATCTTTTAAGGAGACCTGCCGAGTTTTGACCCTCGGCTTTTGACTCAAATCCTTCCGGTTCAAGAAGGCCGAGTCCCGTGCATGTTTGCCGACAACCTGTGCTTCTGGAGCGCGTAGGGAAACACCAGGCCAGAACCTGCGAGAAAAAGACGGAGAAACGGACCCGAGATCGGACCTGACTTTTGGGGAACCAACATGGAGATGCCAAAAGAGATGCCCCCGGTGGATTTCCTTGGCAAAAAGAAGAAGAATCGGCATCCTTTTGTGGTGGGTTGACTTTACAAAAACACCCTTCCCAAAAAAAAAAGGAGAAAAAAGGGCACTGGGCAACTGGGGTCATGATGATTCATGACAGGCCCTTGTGACTAAGACGCCTCAATTGGCACCAATCAGAATCATAGCCGTCTCGGTTCTTGGGCAAAGGTCTGCCCTCTTTCACGCGCCCCATTTCGGGTTCTTTCAAAGAGAAGCCATTTTGAGATGTTGTCATAGTCAACACCTGCAATTTCTTAGAAGTCTTCCCAAAACTGAAAATAATCACCAGGGCGGCTTTAAACGCACCAGTTTTATTGCTTGGACTGTCCACCAACCTTCTACCCGGATTAACTGACTGTTGTTTGCAGCGCCGCACCTTGCTCAGCTATTCACGTTTTGGTCGGCCCTAGAGCAACTGAAACCCAGTCGCTCTGTTGGAAGCCCACCGCCGCGTTGTTTGAGTTCATAGATGGAGACACCATGAGATGGGTGGCGGTTGGGAGGGGTTCCAATGGAAAACAACCCATTTGGAGGGTGTATCTTACTAACACACCCATACTGTGGATGGACGCACACCTGCAACGATGATTCCCCAGTAGATACCAACAGACAAAGTGGTGCAGGAGTTCTTCCATCCACTGTATGGCTATGATTTTGAGTAGTGGAGGCACCCTCAAACATGCGTGTCCCATTTGCCTGTGAATCTTAGTTGGGGACCATGTGGACGGTCATCATTTTTTCATGGGAGTACATGCCGCATTCCCATGTCCTCATTCTGAGGCACAGTCAAAGCATGCGGTTCCCTCAGAAGACGTGGAAACACTAGTCCCTCCCAAGTGGACAATAGACTGCCGGATATTTTAACACATTTTTAGGCACGCCCAACTGCTCACGGATCCCGCGCCTGTCATCGCGATCATGGTCGCAAACCTGGTCCAAAGCTGCCATCCCTGGCGCGCTCGCTCCAACTGCCAGGATGCGTTGCCTTGAGCTGGTACTCCCCCACAAGCATGGCTTGGTGCACGGCCACCTTTA